CATACTCAATACTCAAGAGATAAACACACATATTAAAGTCAGAAGGACAAAGCAATACTATCTAAATTTGCCTGTGTTTCTCATATGACAAACAATTAGCCATCGATGAAAGGCCCACAGGGCATGTCGTCTTCTTTAGATGGACACTAATGGACTTGCCATATTCCTCATTCCTAATCATTGTCCTATCACTTACCCCCCAAAGAGCTCAATGACTCAACTCATCTAAGTCTTCCTCCTCTACTTTCTTCCTCCACATCATCACTTTTGCAAATTTACATGACAATTTTTTAAATGAGTAAAATGATCTGGAAAAAATATTTTTTCAGTTTTTATTTCAATAAGGCAAAAGGCAACACTTGTGTATGGAGAACACTTACACAAATATTCAAAAATTGAAAGAACTAAACTCCAGTTTATTTCCATAGCCTGAAAAAAGGTAGGGAACACATAAAAACATCCAAAGTCATGTTTATTCTTTAGGAATGTAAACTCTAGAAACAGAATTAGAAACAAGTATATTTGCTGTGAAAAGATTAGTATCACCACATGATGAAGTAAAGATGAGAGGCACACAATACACTCCATATAAGAGAAAGCAATGATATGTGAAATAGAATCTTGAGTTTACTAGTAAAAGCTTCCTATTAAGACATATGTACTCTAGAACTCTATTATTAAAAAAACATACAAACATCTTCAAAGTTTCACTGTTAGTCTCCTTAGATATGCACAAGTTACAGTCCAGAAGACAACATATTTATGCTCTCTGAAGAATTTAACAATATCAAACAAATCTGAGTAGCTCAAAGTATTAAGTATAATTTTACTAAGCAACAAATCTAAAAGTATAAATTCATGCTCATTAAAGGACTAGAGAATTTTAGTTTTTCATCCAAAGGTTAGGAAGGCATTATTACACATTAACTTTTATCTACAATGCTTAAAGTACCCATCAAATTATTTTAAGTGGCTTTTAAATATTTTTTCAGTTACATTAATCAACATATCTATATCCTTGATGTGCTTCCTTCTTTAATATAGATTGTGCCTATAGACTCAAATGTTAACCTGCTTTATTTAAAATATTTGTTTAAAATTATGTCTGAGTACATTTTTTTCTATAATTTAACAGTTTTAACACTATAGTTTTATTCTTCCAAAATAGACAGAATCCCCTAAAACTGGGATCATTTTGATCTATTTTGGTTTTAAAAATATATTTCCCAGCTGGGCACGGGGCCTCATGCCTGTAATCCCAGCACTTTGGGAGGCGAGGCAAGAGGATTGCCTGAGTCCAGGGGTTCAAGACCATCCTGGGCAACATAATGGGACCTCACCTCCACAATAAATCAAAAAATTGGCTGGGCATGGTGGCACATGTCTGTAGTTCCAGCTACTTGGAAAGTTGAGGCAGAAGGGCCGCCTGAGCAAAGTAGGCCGAGGTTGTGGTGGCCATGAGCATGCACCGCATTCCAGCCTGGGTGACAGTGAGACTCTGACTCAAGAAAACACACGCGTGCACACACACACACACACACACACACATTTCTATAATTCAACTTTTTTAAAAAAATGACTGTTAAGCAGTTACTTCACAATTAAAAAGGGCAATGAAACATTGCTTTTCAAAACAAATTTCTGTCATTATTTAAGGACTGAGAATTTCTACTCTCAAGTCAACAGAGCCTGCCTTAAAATTTTCTGTGGTGATATATAAGACTCCAGAGTGCTTTCTGGTGGCTGCAGGAAGAGAAGGGAAGACATTTGCCTCAGGGACTCTGGGACACTCCTTGAAAAGGTTCCTTTGTTTGGCTCCCCACCTGGATTCCAAAAGACTAGTGCTGGCTCCAATTTCATTGTAACACCCTAGGCAGTTGGGTTTTCAAGCATGAAAGTAAGATAATTTCAAGAATTCTTAGAATGAATGTGGATCCTAAAATGTGAACTCACTGCAATTTCTGCTCAGATACTCTGAACTATGTGGTGTAAGACTCCAACTTTGTGTGGAATCTTTGTCCTGATAAAAGTATTATTCTGGGTACATAGCTATGATAATCAGCATCTTTATAGAAAAGCGACCTACAAAAGCTACCCCAACTTTCAAATTTGAAAGGTGACTGGGGAGAGAATTGTAGGGATAATAATAATTGTCGTCACAGTTAATATTATCCAATCTTCTTAACTGCCATAACAATTTTTCAATGTATAATCTTTATTTAAAATAGTATCAAAGGTACTATAAAGTCATTTTATTTTTATTCTATTTTTACATTTTTATTATTTTTAGTTATTTATTATAGAGACAACGTTTCACCCTATCACCCAAGCTAGAGTGCAGTGGCTTCATCATGGCTCACTGTAGCCTTGAAATTCTGGACTCAGGCAATCCTCTCACCCCAGCCTCCAGGAGTAGCCAGAATTACAGGTGCATGCCACCACACTCAGTTTTGTGTTTTTTTTTTAGAGTCAGGCACTTGCTATGTTGCCCAGGATGGTCTCAAACTCCTGACCTCAAGTGATCCTTCCACCTCAGCCTCCTAAAGGACTATGTCATGAGCCATGTGCCAGGCCATAAATTTTTATTAACATGTTCACACTCCAGAAAATCAAGTGGTGCAAATCACTTGGGGCATGAATTCAGAACCACCCTACTGAATAAGGCTTCTGGGATTTTAAAAAATATACAAATGCAAATCTGTTGTGCACTGTATATAAGGGGGTGGTACTCCTTTTCATACTTACAATTGCAGGCATTTACAGCTCTGCTTCCATTTATGGTTAACAAGCAAATTACAAAATGTTACATTTTTATTGCAAAAATAAGTGAGGATCATTAGAAATTTAGAATTCAAGGACTTAAGAAATCATGTGTCAGTGTCATTAGAAAATTAGTTAGCTGTCAAAAACAATGAAGTCTATAATGTTCTAGTATCTGAGATATTTGATCTAGTGTTGTAAGACCATTAGGAATTCAATATATTAGACAAGTAATTTGCTTGTACTCTGACACTCTCTTCTCAAAACTTCAATGTGTATAAAAATCACTTGGGGATCTTGTTAAAATGCAGATTCTGACTCAGTGGATCTGGGGTGGCCCTGAAATTCTGCACTTTTAACAAGATGCCAGGTGATGTCAGTCCTGGTCCTCAGAACACATAAGTGCAAAAGTCTAGAAGAATACCAAAATGAGGTTCCAATACAGTGGTAGAACATTAAAATCTGATTTCTAGCTGTGTGTCAGCTCATGTTTCCTCAAGCTTATTCTATATTTCCTAAGCACCTTAACTTGCTTATAATGCTAATCTTTTAAATTAGTTCTTAATAATATCAATATTGTTAATAACTATGCAAAGGAGAAACTCTTTGTTAAGGAATTACAAAAAGATAATTGGAAATTCACAGTGACATTTTACAAATACTTTACATGGTATACAGGATTCCTATCACATTAATATAATGCCAACTTTCACTGACTGATTGCCTTACAGTGTTTTACTGCAATGTATGCCAATAGGATCTTACTCCATTCTATAACTGGAACTAACACAATCAAATTCATTTCTATTAACAACGATATTGTATTCAGGGCTAATGAATGAAAACGAATTTATGCTTTTTGAGGAATTAGGTTTCAACTGATAGCCAAAACAGTTATGGTCGAAACTGTATGCAGAGTGCAAATGCTTTGGCATTCTTCAAAACATATAAATTTTTCATGTTTGAGCTCCCCATAAGCAGGTACAAGAGGAACATATTAGCATGTTCTCTTGGGGACCACAGCCAGGGACTGTGAAGCACCAAAAACTGGACAGCTCCTCAGGTCTTCCTCACCAGGCAACTGGCTCTTGACCTCAGCCCCTGCTCTGCTTCTCTCACTCACTCTGAATTGAATTTAGGGTACTTGCTTTACAAGGAACTGCACAGCTGGAAGAACCACCACTAGCAAACATCAAACCTTTATGTCCATCTAGAGGTCACATACAGCTACATACAAATTTGTTTAGCTTCTGTCATACCACCCTTTTAATTTTTTGGTTGGGAGGTAAGTAAATGGATTATTCTTTTGATATCATAATAAGAACATTTAAAACAGTTGACAAACAAGAAACACATTTCATTGTTTTCATATTTTAAATTTAAGGGCACAAACACAAACAACCCTAAATTAGTTAATATATAAATGTCTTTTGTCCATATTTCACTATTTTTACTTTCTTTCATGACATTTTATAGATGAAAAACATATCTAGTATCCTTCATTTGCAGACAATTCAATATTATATAGTTGAAACTGGTATCTTGAAAGCTGTGTTGCAAGATTTACAGTGATTTCCAGGAAGTCTTCAATCACGTATGCTCTGAATTATAGGAATCCAAACTAACTAGGATTTCCAAAGTTGAGCAGCAGGATAAATCAGCTTTATGGCCTATTGCATCTTAGGAATTGAAAGGGATCTTCATCAGTCAAATTCAGATCAAACACTTCATAACAACACACCTACCAGCAATCTGATTTTTGATATAAAAATATTCCAAAGATAACAACAGAAATGCCCCTACCCATCACCTGGAATCATGTAACATCCTAGGTACCGAGTTACCGGACATTTTCCAGTGCTTTGGACAAATTATTCTAATCTTAGAAATGATCTGGTTACAAACATTTTCATCAGGCATTTTGCATACACATTATGTTTGTTTTTTCACACGCCTGTGTTTCCGACTGGCTTCCTGACCAGCAATTTCAGAATTCTGGGAGTTGTGCCTCTGCCCCATCCTTCATAAAACAGTTCCTATCCAATGGAGACTCCCTTTGACACTGAAGGCCAAATACAGTCACCAAAATAGGAGTTACTAAAAAGAAAAAAAAAATCTCACAACCTCACATGAGATATAACCAACTTGATCAGACAACCTGCCAAAAGTTATTGTCACACTGACAATCTTAGGGCAACAGTAACAAATAAGAAAGAAAAAAAAAAAACACCTCAAAACCAAGGGGAAAAAAATCATAACCAAAAAACAACAAAACTGTATTCAAATTTACTGCAGCCCAGGCATTATTCCCTTCGCAAAGTCAAGGGAGCCTTCAGGGATCCTGTCAGGAATATGGATGAAAGACCTGGGGCACTCTCATAAAGAAGCAAAGTCATGTTTTCAGACTCACTGATTATTGAAGAAAAATATATTACAAATTAATCTGTGGACAGAGTAATGCTAATACTAGGAGGTCGCTGCTGGCCTGATTGATGCTTCATTGGAAGTTCAGTTCTTTCTGAAACATAAATAAGCTTTTCTTCTTGGAGACTACAAGCAGAAAACCTATTGGCATCTGTCCCAGTCCCACAACCAACAGCAGATGATGGGTTATGTGGGACTGTGACACCACTGACTTGTTCAAAGGATTTACTAAACACAGTTGCTGCGGTCTTAGCCAAACCATGGCTACTAGGCTTAGGCAGGGATTGGCTGGTTGTTAATGTAAGTCTCTTCAAGGAGAGAAGCTCAAGATTCTCACTTTGGGCTCTCTGAGTTTGTTTCCGAGCAAAGTGATCTTTGCAAGATTCCCCTGCAGTTTCTTTTTCTTTTCCTCCCGTTTTGCTTCCTCCTGACCTTCTCTGGTTCTTTCCTACACTCGTCTTGTTACTACAATTGTGACTACTGTTTGATAAACCTGACTGGCTGGTACTAGATGCAGCCCTGGAATAAAATCCCTCGTCAACTTCAGATATGTCCATCAGTTCTTCTTGACCTGTTAATTCTGCATTTCCTAAACAAAGAAATGACAAAGATCAATTAACATTACGTATTTTACGCAGTTAAAAAAAAAAATGATTAATACCAAATCAGTTATACTTTAAGAAAATTAAACTTTAGCATAATTTCATAAAGCAACAGATTACAGAATAAAATCAAAGAGTAAATCAAAACATTTATGCCAAAAATGTCTAAAATAGTTCATAGTAATTAAAACACAGCAATTTAAAGTTTATTAAGCAAAAAAGCATGCTGTAAACCACACCCCACTGTGTTTTTAGAAAGAGTTCTTCAATTATTCATGCAAAAGATAAGAAACAATTAAAAAAATTACCACACAGTCACACTAGGGGTAAACTCTCCTCCAGTAGCAAAGCAGTATCAAATCAAAGTTTTTACCAAGGAGCTACAGAGGGTGCCAAAAAGATGTATAAACAATTTAAGAACGGAAAAAAACTGCATTAAAATGGTAATACTCAATATATACCTATACCAAAAGATGAATACAAGTCACGTTTGACTTTTGCAATTACAGGAGGTGGTCAAAGTGGTTACGGTCAGTGTCCAGACATGTCTGATTACGGCGAACTATTGCAGGACTTGTTGCTGCACGAGGCCTCCAGGATCTCCCTTTATACACATCACACACAGTATCATGTTTCTCAAACTTATCACAAATGTGTGCAGTTGTTAGGTATGTTGGCGGTTCTGTTGCATACTCACACCTCTATTGTCGTTGTACTTCTACATTCTTGAATTTCAAATACCATTTCAAAATTATCCTGTGCTCCTTGGACGACAACCGTGCTTCTGCCATCTTCTTTGACTGTCCTGCCTATTGCATGGTGATGCCAGCATTCAATTGACTAATGCCATCTTTTGATTGAATGTCATACTATACATTGTTATTGTAATTCAATTTAACTTCAAAAAGTAATACATAGATAGCATCTCTTAAAATGTGTGTTTTTTTGGCACCCCCGGTATTTCAAAACTGGTATTAGAATATTTTTAAAAGTTTCTTAAACTGTTGTACTATACTTTGTATAATTTTAAAAATCTAGACTACAAAAATCACAAGTTCAAACTTGTTAAAATTACAGGTACATTATCCTTCATATAAAAGATGGCAACAATACAAAGATAAAAAATAACTTTAGATCTCAACACAAAAGCAGAAAATTATTTTGGAAGCAATTTTCTGCCTCAGTTTCTACAAAAACCTACTCAGAGAAAACACAGGCATGACCATTTCAAAGAGCACTAAGAGTCATTGAGAAACTATGGCACATAATTCATGCATTTGGATTATTAGAGGACATGCAAAATTTTTGTGACTGTGCAACACTTGCTTAACATGCATCAGTGGCCCTTTGCCTTGAGATACCTTGGAGTGCAGCTATAAAGTGCTCTGCTAAAACTGCACTCTGCCAGGTGAGCTTATTCCATCCTCCATCATTTTTCTTACAGACTTTTGCCTCCTGATCTCTGGCAAGCCTTTGCTCTCAGTTCTAGGATCTGTGGCTGTTTCCTGTACACCCTGCATATGCTGAGCATCAATCTCTCCTAGTGTTCTGCCTTTTTCCCCATTCCCGGTTCTGTCTCCGGCCACATTTGTGACACTAATCTCAGGAATGACAAGGATGCCCAATTCAGTAGTATCATTATTGTTGTCAGGTTGCTCTAGAAGTGAAGATGATAAGACAAAATGATGGCTGAAAACAAAACAAAATAAAAAATGCAAAACAAGAAAAACAAAAGACCCAAAACAAAAGCTGGATGACTGAATGTTATGAATTAAGCCAAACATTTGCACTATAGTGATTTCCATGATTCAAAACACTGACAATACTAACAGCACCAGACCATGTCATGTTCTTTAATTTTAAATGACAAAAAAATTCACAAATCATCAATTAAATGTTCTGTATTTTTTCACACCTATTTCACGTGGACTATGAAACAGAAATGTTTTAATACATCAAAATAGAGTTTCTATTGTTCTTAAGGTAATATTGTGACCACCTGAACTTATATTAAAGCCTTAGGCAAATGTCCAAGAAGTGCAGCCAAAACTCTAGCTCTTGTCTACACTGGGAGCCAAAACACAGGAATTCCTCTTCGTACACTTAATTACATTTTTTTATTAGACCACATTGAGACTGACTTAATAAACCCTGATATTTGAGAAAGTGCTTATTCACTTATGATATCATGGTTACTAATACCACAGGTTATGGTTTCTGTCTCACAACCCAACACATCATCTTATACATTAGGAAATATTAATGTGATACTGTGATACAATTAAGCAGTCGATTTCTTCAGATTTATACTAATTTCATAAATTTAAGCCAGCTTGTAATGGTTCTTTACACAGTGCAGAAAAATAGAAATTTGGGAAAACAAATTGTCAGTTCTTTATTCCGAAAACAGTCATTGTAAGTGACACAAAGGAACAAAACTTCTAACTAGTTAATGACCGTAGACATGATTTTAGTCTGTGTCTTAAACCCCAAAGGCAAAATTTTATTTAAAGCTGTCAAGAAATTATCTGTAGCAAATTAGGGAAAAAATAGCAAATATATCTAGAATGTTACAGTAGTAAAACAAAGTTCAAAACAACACAGACAACGTAAAACAGTATACACCTATACTCTTTAAAAATGTAGACCACAAATCTGCTTGAGGGATATTATCTACCACCTTTCAACAGCTTTATTGATAGGATTAGCTAAGTCTCACTAATGGTGTTAGAGGCTGAGAAACAGTAATAGGTAGTAATGAATGTAAGCCAGAGACACATATTTCAAGTTCTCTAACTTGACCGCACATTGGTATTGATGCCTGGTTCCTACCCTCAAATATCCTGACTTCTCATCAGTATGAGGTATGGCCTGGGCTCCTGTGTCACTAATGTGAAGTACTGCTCTATTTGAAAACTTAAAAAAAAAGTTGTTACGGGTGCCCTGGATACTGTGTATCCAGAAGCAATATATGCACTTCTAGAAGCCCTCTCTGCAAAGCTTCCTGCTGCCCTATGCTGGTGAGCCAATGTGCTGGTATAATTATTTCCCCTGAACTTGGTGCTTCATGGACTTTTGACTAAAGGTTCTCTAAATAAAATTTTTATGTCCTAGATAAGCCAAAGTATGTTGGTGAGACAGCAGTACACTGCTGTTTCAGGGTTCTCTCTAAGATAGGTGTAATGGAACTAAAATGTTCTAACCAAGCCTATTCCCAAATGCTAACAACTGTCTTCAAAGTGAGGGCAAATCAATTCTTTTTTTTTGAGTTGGAGTCCTACTCTGTCGCCCAGGCTGGAGTGCAGTGGCATGCTCAAGACCACCGCAGAGTTGACCTGCTGGGCTCTGACAATCCTTCTGACTCAGCCTTCCAAGCAGCCGGAAATACAGGTGCGCACTACCATGCCCAGCTAATTTTTTATTTATTGTAGAGACAAGGTCCCATCAAGTTGCCTGGGCTGGTCTCGAACCCTCATGCAATCCACTCGCCTCAGCCTTCCAAAGTGCTGGGATTATAGGCTGAGCCACCGAACCCAGCTGCAAATCAAGTCTTACTGAGGTACATGCCAGAGGCCACTGCAACTAAGATAAAATCACCATGGCACTGTGCAGTGATAGCCAAGACTTGTCCATTTACATTCTAGAGGCTGCTTCACAAAAGATCTATCAACGGGACCACCAATCCGGAAAAAAAACAAAAACATAAACTTTGAAAATTATTCATATATTAAAAAGTCAATAAATATTAAAACTTAACAGAATAGGTGTGGTCTAACAGAAGAGATAATATTGCTTACAATGAATGGCACTAAACAGTTTTTTGAAAGCACTATATATTATTCAATTACCTTCTCAAAACAATTATGTTATAAGCCTCTGAAACAGGCAGTTTGATTCCTACTTACAGACAAGGAAACTGAAGTTCAGAAATTGCTATACAACTATTCTGTGGGGAAGCTAAGCAACAGACTCTCTTGACTTCAAATGTCCTTTCTAACATACTATTAATTTAACTCTTTCACATCTCTATAATAAATAATTTTAAAAAGCACACACACATACAAATTTAACTCTTCAATTCATTAGAGTCCATTTGAATTAAATATCCTCTGAGATTTCACAATTAGGTTTATTTGCTTAGATTCTTGGATATTTCATAAAAAGCAAATAATTCACTGGCTGAACACTGAGCCAGAATAAATAAAGGTCTGGAAGAAAACCCAGGAAGGCCGTAACCCTCAAGTGAGGTTGCTCTTATTTTTAAAAGAAAAAATGGGTTTATTATTTTTTAAATGCCAATGAAAGCTATTAACTTAAAATAGAAAACTGACAGAAAGAATATATAAAGCAGTACTGGGGAATTAAATTGCTAATCACATTTGGTGGAATAGTGATAAAGACCTATAGCCTGAGAACAATATTATTATTTTTTTAAATCATGGAATTAAATGGCAAGTAGGAAAATGAGATATGTTTTCTCACAAGCAAAAATCTTTAATTAATTAATGCTTGTTACCGCTCAAAAATGGTAGCAATGGCAGATTTTTAAAAACTGCTTATTAAATGCATGAAAAAGAAATGAATGTAATGCTGTACACAGCTACAAAGACCAGAAACATAATTCTCAGGAAAGTTACAGAATAAAGAAAGATAAGTATGTACTCCAAACAAACATTTGTTACAGGATCTTCCTCCCTGTTAACTCTCTGACTTCTTCCCCCATGTAACTCTGTGACCCAATCTCCCCATTCACTCTCGCTTACTGGGTCTCTGGGCTATTCTCTAGGCCTGGGATGCTTTTCTCCAGAAGCTGAATGGCTCATTTCCTTACTTCAGGGCTTTTCTCAAAAATTTCCTTTATAGTGAAGACTTCTCTGGTCAACCCATTCAGTTTCAATATCACCCCTGTTTCACACATCCTCTTTCCTATTTTGTTTCTTTTCCTCTTTTCCTTACCACTTGCTTTCTAACATATAATTACCTATTTACCTGTTTACTAGATGGAAGTTCCATGAGGGCACAGATTTTTATTTTTGTCTTGTAACTGCTATATACCTAGCACCTGAAAAAGTAGCCTGTATATAGCAGGTGCTCAATAAATCTTTGATGAATTGAATGAATCTTCTGATATGAGATTATTAGAAGAAATGAAGGTAAAAAAACATGCAGAAGACAGAAGAACGGTAAGCTAGAAATGTGTTACTTAACTGAATAAAAGAAAAAATATATATGCAGCTTATGTTAATATACATTTTTAGATGGCAAAGAAAAGCAAAGGTTCTTTGTTTTGGAAAAGTGAACTAGCTATCTCTAAATGCAGGTTTAGCAAAATACTCGGTAATGTCAAAAAGATATCTTTTAAAAACTATAGTTAGGCCAGGTGCGGTGGCTCAAGTCTGTAATCCCAGCACTTTGGAAGGCCAAGGTGAGAGGACTGCCTGAGCCCAGAGGTTCAAGACCAGCCTGGGCAACTTGGTGAGACCTCGTCGCTGCGGTGGCCATGAGCATGCCACTACACTCCAACCTGGGTGACAGAGTGAGACTCCAATTCAAAACAAAACAAAACCAAAAAAACTATAGTTCTTTATATTATGTTATCCAGAGGATAACATATGTAGCTAAAGAGTGGGACTTGATCTTTTCTTTAAGAAAATTATATAGAAGATGTGTTAAGGGAAAATAAGTGTATAAGAAAATAGATTATGTTTCCCCCAAAATTTAATAATCTATGCAAGTGGAGTCATTAATCCATACCTATCAAAGACAATTACTTACATTTGACTTCAAATAATTTGAAAAGTTTGAAAAAGATCCAAAGAGGAACATCTCAGTGAATATATTCTTTATAAAATCTCTGTATGTGTAAATAGGTAAACGTCTCTCCATATGCAGAAATGAGGAGAGCTAAAGAATACTTTTAATAGATATTTCCAAATTAGTTCTCAAAGGCACTCAATTTCTCCCTAAAAAATTTCCTCCAGCTTTAAGAAAAACAGTGAAGTAAATTACAAATATCATTAAAACAGATCATGAAAAGTTGTGATTTCTCCCAAATGTAATTTTATAATTCCAAATATCTATTCCATTATGTCCCTCATAAAACTATCCTAGTTTTTGCTTTTATTTGTTTTATGACTGCTCTATTTACTAAAGGTGATAATTTTAATAAAGGAACAATTATTTATTCATAGGCTTTATACATTTTTGTAATCAGATTATTTATGAGTCTAAAGGAATCTGGCTATGACCCAGGGCACTACAAACTTATATGCAAAATAACAAAACAAGCTTAGGCTTTAAAAAAAATTAGACTTTAAATGTCTGCATCATACAATTTTTGACACTAATTATGAAAAATATTTGAGTAAATCCCAAAAGAAAGTCATACAAATTCCTTTATGATTTATAAGATATATATTTTTTAAATGCCATAAAATACCTGAAAAAATGCATACCCTTTCAGCCAATCATTTTATGTTTAATTTATTCTGCTCAATAGAAGAAAAATGTTATGTATATTCATTAATCTAGTCCTTACAGTGTTATTTATAATAGCGAAAAGTTAGAAACAAATTATTTAACATATTAGAGAAATGGTTAAGTAAATCCTAGAATATCAACTCAATGTGATATTATGTAGCCATTAAAAGAACTAGATCTACTAGAAGAACTCAGGAAAATGTTTCACAGCATAACAAAGGAAAAATACAAAAAAAAACAAAAAACAATTTTAAATCAGGTACAACCATGAAACATACATATACATGGAAAAACTAAAATGACAACTCTTTAAGTACTGGAATTGTAAGTGAATACCCTCTTATCTAGTTTATTATAATGTTGTTAGACTGTTTTTCAAAAACAAGAAGGAACAAATTGCTCGCCCTATGTTATAAATTTATTTATCACTCATTCATGCATTCAACTACAATTTATTGAGCACCTGTAATATGTCTGACATTGTTTTAGGTGCTGGGGATACAGCAGCCAACACGATAGACTCTGCCCTCACTGTAATGTGGGAACAGAGCTCACACTGTAATATAAGAATACACGACAGAATTAAAATAGCAGAAAATGCAATGAAAGACAGTAAACAGGGTGGTGGGGGTAAAGATACTTTAGATGCATGGTCTAGGAAAACCTCTCTGAGGAAGGGATAGTTGAGCTAAGATTTGAATGATGAAAAACTGTTGGCTACACAATAAACTGGAATAAGAGAGTTTAAGGCACCTTTTCATCATTCAAATTTCAAAAATGGCTTAGTATACTGAAGAATTGGAAGGGAGGAGTCTAGTAAACGAGAGTGAGAGTGGTCTCCAAGTGAGGTCAGAGCAATAGGCAAGAGGTCGTATCACCAGTCACACATGCCATAGTACAGATTGCAGTGGGTAGCCATTGACAAGTATACAGATATACTATTTGCATATTTTATTAGCACTTTTAATCAACAGAAGTCACATTTGTGTAACACGAAATATTGAGCATAAAACGTGTCCTGAGTTAGCACAAACAGCACTGCAGCAATACTTAGCCTGTGCAGCAGAGTAGAGGAAAGCGAAGCTTCCATAGAGAGACACAGGATAAAGACCAGGCAGTTAAAGGGCTGCACTTTGAGCAAGAACAAAAACAAAGACTAAGACTAAGACATTCCAGGTAAGAAAAGAGCAGCCTGGGAGACACAGAAAAACAATATGGAACAGAACAATGTATGTAGACATACTGGTTAGGAGCTATTATATTACCTCCTCCTATGAGGCTTGGTGTGGTAAGGGAAGTGGAGGGATCTGGGTGGAATGAGAAACACATTCAGAGTCCCATCAAATACAGAAACTCTAAATGTATTTTTACACAGCCATAAACTGAACTTACATTCTATAGAATTATATTTCAAAACATTATACGATAAAAAGGCTATGTGGGTCACCCTGGAATCTACAAGCCTTTTAACACTGTTTCTAAATAAATGTTTAAATAAATTACAATTTTAAATAATTTACATATAAGTGTAATAAATATAATTTGTAATTGTATTTATCTAAATTATTTAAAAATCTGTTTCTAATTTGAGAACTGTCTATATACTTAAGAACTACAGCAAAGATACATATCTTCCCCACAAGAAGCTAGTGCCATGCTACAGAGCCTAGAACAAAAATATGTTCACATAGGAAGCAGGACCATGAGGATGGAAAATAGCAATGTTTTAATTCAGCAGAACATGGCAACAGTAGAAAATACTGTTCTCAAAAGGCTAAGACAACCCTAAAAGGGGAGAATACAACCTATCTGTAAAGGTAAATAAGAAGGACCTGAGACTAGGAATATTTTGGAGTCCTGGATAAAGAGAATTAACAGTACAGAAGAGTGACACACAAGGCTAAGCTGTATTCTGCCTCTGCTCCATGCCCAATTCAACAGCATAATTTTCTTTGAAGAAACTGATGTTTAGACTCTGTATGTTTTAAATAGTAGCATAATTTGCCTTGCTTTTGGCAAACATCACCCCTTCTTTTATGCCTTCCTATGGGACTTTCAAGAGTTGTCACACTAACTTTAACAAAGAAAAAGATAAAAAATGATCACTGGGTGAACTGGGTAATTTTATCATCATTCTTTTTTGACATCCAACCTCCCAGATTCCCTGTGTGAAAACAATGGCAACTGTTCTGATCGTCTTTCTATTTCACCATAAATGACCTAATTCTTCCCCTTTCTCATTTTCTCTGTAGAGACAGTGAGAGAACTGGGAACAAAATATACTAAAAGAAACTCCTATTTTCACCTCAGTTTATAGGAAGAAGAAAACAAAGAATGGATTTTGTTTTCCCCTAACGTGTACGTTTGTTTGGGGTAAAGAAGTAGCTTTTGCTTTCCATCCAATGGTTGCCTTCTGAGGAAGGTGATAGTAAACCCCCTTTTATACTGATTCCTGCCATTGGAATAACTTCTAGACAGAAAGGAAGTTATAAAAAGAATAAGAAATTGAATAAAGTATAATAAATTAAAAGAAGAGGAAAATGAGAGAGCACTGACAAAGCCATGGTAAGTGAAATTAACTTCCAGTAAAATTTTAAAATAATAAAATAAGGCAGAAAAAAAAATAACATATCAAAAGAAATTGTGAAAGAAAACTGCCTTAAGAAAATAGAAATGCCTAATGTTGCATCAATACCATGGAATTCCTTACCAGGAAGTCCAGTCAAAATGTTTAAAGTCTCTATTACTTCTACTTCACTATGCAAATTTACCTCCTAAAGAATTAATTGAGAAATCAGAAGCATTAATTGAGGAATATTTGCAAATACTTATGAATAGAAACCCAAAATGTACAAATAATTTTAAAGTGCATTTTCCTTACTCTCCTACTCTATTGAAATAAAATTTAAAAGCCAATATAAGTTTTAGATAAATTTTCATTCATAGGTACAATATAAGGGATTCTATTTCTCTTACTGCCTATTGCCCCTGGATAATAAATCAAGAGTTAAGGGTGTCTCCACAGCTCTTTCTTCAGACCACAGTGGTACTATTTACTAAAGTTGGAAGCTGTCATACCATATGTATGGAGAAAAATGTGAAAGAATCAATAATACTGTAACTGGAAGAGTTATATATTTCTTACCGTGTCTTTTCCACCTATGACCTCTTATTGACATGCTGGTTACTGCATTTCTTGATATTCTAGAGGAAGTTGGTGTGATTTCAACTTGAATACACCTTGTACCTTCCTTGTTAGATTTCATGGCACCATGAGGCAATGAAGCCTTTATTGCATTAGCAACCTAAGAAGGTAAAATATAGTTTAAGATTGATGTTAACAGATGTGTTATTTTACTCTTAGATAAAACATGATCCTAATGTTAACAAGTTTATATAAAGAACACTCTCCCCAAGGTATCTCATAAGATGATACACAAATATTCTAGACTAATAAGTAAGAGCTCAGAAGGAAAGTCATGGTTAAAAAATATGTACGCAATGAAGTTAAAAATTTCAAAATATTAAATTAGATTTCCAAATGCCTAATGTTAACTAACAAATGCAGCTAAACTATGTTAAGAAGATCATTCTCATAAGTTAAAAAGACTACCAGGTCACTAGGAAATTAGTCTAATAAAATTTTCAAGTTTTTATATATACTTTCTTAAATTGTAAAATTTTCCAAGTATAACAAAAGCATGACTCACTGAGTATTAAGATCATATTAACGAACTATAAATGGCTACTTCTCAATTCGTAGTTTTAAATTGAGAACAGTTAAATTTACATAAATAAGTGAGACACCTACCAGCAATGGCTCTGGATATAATTCTAGCTGGGCTCTGTAAATAATATCATCCAGTGCTTTTTGAGCAAGATCCCATTCTCCATTATAACTATAAAATGAGATGAATTAAATGAAGAAAGTATAATTACTTAAAATTGAACAAAGTATAATGAGACACTATCCTTACTAAGAAAAATAACAAATCTTATCAGTACATTGCTTAACATTCCACTTAAAAATGCATTTTAAAATTTTTGAATTCCTTTCAATTGCATCCAAAAGCCTATTAATAGCAAAGAAAATTTTATAGATGTATATTTCTTCTCTAAAGAACATGACTATTTATAGAACAAAATTTTTTTAAAAAGCTAAGACAATTTCAAAGCATTTTATACTTTCAAAGCAAGTTAAATTATATACCTTAGAATAATGTTCAGAACACATTATGGTCAAATTATTCTGTAACTCCCACAGTTTTTAATGAGAATCTACAACTACTGTGGCTTGCAGTATCATGAGTAGTTATTTCTTTGCATTTTGACAGTCATTTAGAAGTGTATATGATGTATGTTGCAAATAGAGGAGAGACAGGAGGAAAAAAAATAAGTGTGTCATCTGTGTATAATTTTCAAAGATATGCCAAATCCTTTCTAAAAATCAGCTAAATGACAAAAATGAATGGAGATATAATGACTTTGGTTATCCTCCAACAAAATAAAGAGGTGTGAGTGCAAATGAAGCTTGAAAAACTGAAAAGAGGCCAGGTGCGGTGGTTCCAAGCCTGTAATCCCAGCACTTTGAGAGACCAAGATGAAAGGATTGCCTGAGCTCAGGGGTTCAAGACCAGCCTAGGCAACTTGGTGAGACCTGTCTCTACAACAAAACAAAAAATAAGTCAGGTTTGGTAGCACGCACCTGTAGTTTCAGCTACTTGGAAGGCTGAGGCGGAAGGATCACCTGAGCCCAGCAGGTTCAGGCTGCAGTAGCCACGAGCGTGCCACTGCATTCTAACCTGGGCAGCAGAGTGAGACTCTGATTCAAAAAAAAAAGAAAAAAGAAAAGAGCATCGTCCCACCCTAAAAACAAGAGAAAGCAAGGTAATTGTCAAAATCCTAATTTCTCATGAGTCCATCAAAGAGGTAAAGTCACAAGGACATCCAAATAGCCTGAATCCTAAGGGTAGACAGGAAGCTGAATCCCAAGGAGAGATGGAGCACAATACGAGTGGATAGGAGAACTCAGCTAAATTTTCTAATCACCAAATTGCTAAATTAAGCTTATAGAATAGCATGAGAGTACAGAAGCTCTGGAAGCACATATACAGAGAGCTTGTACCCACTCACAGGCTTTTCTCCACACACCACCTTCACACACACACAAGAAAGACTGGAAACAAGGCAGAGGACAGAGAGGGCTGCCCTTGCTGGTATAGGCCTGAAGAAGAGCAGTCACTTGTGCACGTTGGAAAAGCACTATGATCCAGCCAGACCCTTTTCTTTTTCTTTTTTTTTTTTTTGAGTTGGAGTCTCACTTTGTTGCCCAGACTGGAGTACAGTGGCCGCTCCTGGCCACCGCAGCCTCGACCTGCTGGGCTCCGGCGATCCTTCCACCTCAGCCTTCCGAGTAGCCAGAATTACAGGCATGCACTACCATGCCCGGCTGATTTTTGATTTATTGTAGAGATGAGGTCTTGCTGCCCAGGAGGGTCTCGAACCCGCGGGCTCAGGCAATTCACTCACCTCAGCCTCCCAAAGGCGCGGGATTACAGGCTGAGCCACCGAGCCCGGCTCAGACCCTTTTCTAACATGGAACAGAAGTTTTAAAGCTTTTGAGGAAAGAGTGGCAAGCCCTCTCACTCCCAGGGCACAGATGAAGACCAGTTTGAATCTGAGGGCAAGAAAAAGAAAAGAAAAACCATCCATTCTATGCTGAAATCACTAGAGGTCTCTTATCATGGGAAAAGGGGCAGGACCACCAAGAAAATTCCATTCCTGAGACGCAGGGACGTAGGGTCTGCCTAGAACTGAATCTACACCAGAACAGCAGAGAAATCCCATTCCTCTCCTTCACCACCTAGGCTAGTACACACCTAGAGATAAGTAGCAGCACTCTACCACTGGAAGAGGAGCAGGAATATCAGAGAAACTCTAACTGCATACAGGCAAGGCTAAAAGCTGGGGATGAAGCAAGAAGATGAAGAAAATCCTCCTTGCAATCAAGCACCCTCACTAAGCACCAGGTAACACTAGAGGCCTCTGAAGTAGATGGTGCCCTGAAGGTATCCACAGCAACAAAACCCAATACCAGCTCACTCCTGCTGGTAATAACTCCACTAGCAGCCTAGAAAAAAAGAGGCCTGCCCGATCTCCTGTCATAAATCTTATTTACCTCAGTTTCTACTGTCCTACACTTGAACAAAACCATGAACAATCAAAAATTACAAGGCACACAAAAAGCAAGGAAAAAAACCTGTTAAAAGACAAAGCAATTAATAGAACTGAATTCAAAGATGAACCAGGTGTTTAAGTTATCAGGGAAATTAAAATAACGATGATTCATATACTAAAGGCTCCAGTGGAAAAGATGGACAACATGTATGAACAGATAGAGATTTCAGCAGAGGTGGGAACTCTAGGAAAGAGTCAAATGAAAAGGGTAGAAATAAAACACAGAAACAGATGAAGAATGCCTTCAGTACCTTCACTGGTAGACTCAAGACAAGGTGAAAAAAAATCAATAAACATAAAGCTAGATCAACAGAAATCATTCAAACTGAAACACATAGAAAAAAGATAAAATAAGACAGATCAGAATATCTAAAAACTGTGGGACACTATTAATGGCGTAACACAAGGGTCAGAAAATTTTTCCTTAGATGGACAGACAGGATTATGGGCCAGACAGTCTCTATCACAACTATTCAATTCTGCCATTGCAGCACAAAAGTACCCATAGACAATACACAGGCAAGTGGGAATGATTTGTATTTCAATAAAACTTTACAAAAACAGGCAGCAGGCCAGATGTGGCCCACAGACTATAAATTCTGCCTAAAGTTAAAAAGCTTATCTACCAGGAAAAATGAATGAATCAAGTAAAATTAATGCAAAGTATAGGATATATATGTGTGTGTAATAAGAGAATAACAAAGTAAAAGAAAAATACTGATACCTAAGACATTAGGTAACAATGAACACTAATATTAGAAGCTAATAGCTAGTAATAAACTATTTCTGTAATTGCAGCACTTTGGAAGACTGAGACAGGAGGATTGCTGGAGCCCAGGAGTTCGAGACTAGCCTGGGCAACATAGCTAGTCCTTGTCTCTAAAAAAAAATTTTTTTTTTTAATTAGATGGACATGGTGGTACACACCTATAGTCCCAGCTACTCCAGAGGATGCAAAGGGATTGCCTGAGCCCAGGAGGTCATGGCTATGGTAAGCCATGATCATGCCACTGCACTCCAGCCTAGGCAACAAAGTAAGACCCCGACTCTAATAATAATAATAATAATAATAATAAACTACTGCTGATCAAAGAGGCTCTAAAATGGTGTTTTTGTTTGTTTGCTTGTTTGCTTGTTTTGAGAGGTTTGCACTCTGTCATCCAGATGATCATGGTTCATTGCAGCCTTGAACTCTTGGGCTCAAGCAATCCTCCCACCTCACAGTCTCCCAGGTAGCTAGGATTACATGCTACCATGCCCAGGTGATTTTTCTTATTTTTTGTAGAGGCAGGGTCCTGCTATATTGCCCAGGTCTTGAACTCCTGGGCACAAGCAATCCTCCCACCTCAGTTTCCCAAACTGCTGGGATTACAGGCATGAGCCACTGAGCCTGGCCTAAATGGTTTTTAAGAGCTAAAGTTTCTGGAAATAGAAAAAGTTATTCACTGGGGGAAAACGTTATTTGGAAATTACAGCAAAAAAAAGTAACAAAAAAGGGACTATGAGTATATTTAAGTATTACTAATTTTCTTGAATTAAACAAAGATGACAAAGTATTTTAGTTGGTTACAAACTCTTCAGAACTGTCAAAGATATGTTTTAACTCATAAAACTATTATCACGTTCTTGATTCATATTATTTCACAAAAAATATACTGATTGTTTAATTACTGAGATTATAACATACTGACAATAGAGATCATAATTTTCCAAAAAGGTCAGAGGTTTACTTTATATATGAGAAAAACTTACAAGGCAAAATAAATCCCTGTTAACATCTGTACCATGAATCCTGAAGAAACTGGTATCCTGTTATTCACACCTTTGTATTTTCTTACATGTTGTCGAGGATATCCACAAACACAAATTCTAGAAAGATCAAAATAAATATACTTGTATAATTGGTAAAAATTTGAGTAATTTATTTTTTAACACTTCTAAGCTAACAATGTACTAGGTATACTTTCATAACAAACTTAATATCTAAAACAAAGAATCTTTCCAAACAGAACATTTGTCTGTAACATTTTCTTGAGCAAATTATACTGGGAAAAAAATGTATAAAGCTAGAGATATGTTGACATGTAGTAAGTGAACGAGATTCACTTACTGGTTGGTTCACTAATTTTGGTTAGTTAAATTACTAATAATTTTTGGCTAGTGAAAAACCTGTTATATGGAACTTGGCATTATTTGTCATAAACAGATCTGTGGTATGTCTCAGTTCCTGACAGTTCTTGACACAAACCACAGGATAAAAAAAATGCTATAAATCAGACTCAACCTCATACAGTATCCTATAATAAAATTCAGACAAAGTAAAATTTTCAATGTTTAAAAACCACAAATAAATAAAACACAAGCAAATAGGCACATATTCTTTGCATGCTGCCTAAACATTACACCAAAAGTGGAACCCTAAAGAAAAATCAACTGGTTTTACTGAATTTTTTGAAAGAAACTACCATGAACAAAATTAAAATGTCAAGAAATATTTATTATACTGAGGAATATTTAAGGAGCATTAAAATTTAGTATTTATTATGGTGAAAAGGAAGCCACAGAAAAGTCTAACACAGGAGACCAACTATCATTCAGAGACAAAGAAATTAAACATGACATTTTAAAAGTCTATTTAAATGACAAGAAAAAAAGCTGTACAAAACAACACATGTAGCATAATCGCATTTTGCAATAAGCAAATAGGCATATGGTAAAAAGAAACATATACAAAGTCATAGTTATCTCTGATCTGTGGGATTATAGATCTATTTTCTTCTTTATATGTATGTGTATTTTCTAAATTTTTTATAATCATGTACTATTTTTAAAACAAAAATAAGTTTCTATTTCTAAAAATAAATATACTAAAAATTACTTGCTTTCTCACAATATGTTGTGGATGATATAATAAAACCTTCACTTAACATAGTAGTAGCCAATAGATTATAACTATTTACCCATTCTTCCCCTGCACTTACTTCCTGGAACTTAGTATTTCCTCTACTCAATGAATCTAAGCCTTCACTTAAAAATGCTCAAGTGTGCTGCAGATCATTTCAAAAATATCTCCCTTAGAATATCATTAATTCAAAGTAACCTTAAAGAATAACTAAACTCATTTAATTTTGAGAATCTCAGAATCTTTAGAACCAAGAGTAAAAAGTAAGCAGAGAAACTGAGAAAAATTAGCTGCCTGTGAAATACAACCAATTCTGGCTGGGGGCAGTGGCTCACGCCTAAAATCCCAGCACCTTGGGAGGCTGAGGTAAGAGGATTGCCTGAGCCCATGGGTTCAAGACTAGCCCGGACAACTTGGAGGGACCTCATGTCTACAATAAATTAAAAAATTAGCCGGGCATGGTGGCGCACGCCTGTGAGTCCAGCTACTTGGAAGGCTGGGGCAGAAGGATCACCTGAGCCCAGCAGGTCAACACTGGGGTGGCCTTGAGCATGCCACTGCACTCTAGCCTGGGTGATGGAGTGAGACTCCAATTCAAAAAAAAAAAGAAAAGAAAAACAACCAACTCAAATTTTGTGTGAAATTACAAACATTTATACCCAAACTAGAAAACTCCTCTTACTCTTATTATCTAAAGAAGCAAACTTAATCTGTATTAACTTTACTTTCTTACACTTTACACTTTCATGATAAGGATGGTAGTAAATAATAGAGAACAAATGTGTGAAAGAAGGATTTTTCAATAAATTCATTTATTCAGTCAGTTAGTGCTTATTAAAGACTGATATTGCATCTGACACTAGGGATACAGACAAAAGATGTAGTTCTCACAGGAATCCACACTCCAATTATGGAGAGTGTGTAGTAAGCAATTATCTGCAAGGAACAAACTTCAGAGATGGCAAAAAAAGAAAAGAAAGAAAGAAAGTGGTAAACTCAGGTAAAAGTGGGAGGTTGGGGAAGACATCTCAGAAATATATTCCTTTGAAATGAGTCTTGAAGAAAAAGTGGTATTTTTCCAAATGGAAATATTCAAAAGGAAAAAGGCAGAGAAGGGATGAAGCAGCATGGCATTGAGGAAACGGGAAATTTTAGTAGGGTAGAATGCTAGGAAATAACAGAGAAGCTCATCAGATAATAAAACCAGCTAGGTTTTGTCATGTGGACAGTAGGAAGCAACCAAAGGTTTTGTTTTGCTTTGTTTTGTTTTGAACAAGGGAGTAACAAGATTATATTGATCTGATATTGGTGAGACTTCATCTCTACAGTAAATAAAAAAAATTAGCTGGACATGGTGGTGCAGGGCTGTAGTTCCAGCTACTTGGAAGGCTGAGACAGAAGAATCACCTGAACCCAGCAGGTCAAGATAGCAGTGGCTGTCAGCATGCCTCTGAACTCCAGCCTGGGTAACAAAGTGAGAGTCCAACTCAAAAAAAAAAAAAAAGGATTCAATCTAGGCTGGGTGTGGTAGCTCCCAGCACATTGGGAGGCAGAGGCAAGAGACTGAGTCTGAGGCTGAGCCCAGGTGGGTTCGAGACCAGTCTGGACAACTTGTCAAGACCTTGTCTCTACAACAGATCAAAAAATTAGCTGGGTGTGGTAGTACATGCCTGTGGTTCCAGCTACTTGGAAGGCTGAAGCAGAAGGATAGCCTGTGCTCAGCAGGTCAAGGCTACGGTGGCCATGGGCATGCCACTGCACTCCAGCCTGGGTGACAGAGTGAGATTCCAACTCAAAAAACAAAACAGAAAAAAGAAACCAATCTAGGAACTATAAAGGGAGTGAGACTGAAGAAATAAGAGGAGTAGACAATCATTCCTTCATTTAGTTTGTGTAGCTGGCTGACTGGTAGCTTCATTAACTAGGACAAATAGGACATACTATTTTAGAAGATGCTAGGTTTCAGATATGCTGATTTTTTTAGGTAAACAATGCAACATCGATTTTGTCTGCTGTGCCCAACCCACCTTCCATTTGAAGCACTGCCCTCCCTTTTGCCTTTAGGAACTCATCTTTCCTTATATAATCAAGAATTATCACATGATTATGGTGAGGTTGCCAATAAAACTACCTGTGACAGAGATCACCCATCTATTTTTAAGAAGACATAATACATATACATATAAGGCACACTTTCTACCTTCCCTCCATCAATTTTAACTAGGAACAACAGCCACCCTGCTAGAGACTATATTTTCTAGCTTTCCTTGCATCTAAGTGTGACGAAGTGACTAAGTTCTGGGCAATGGTATGTTAACCAAAGTGGTGAAACTGCTAAATTGTGCACTTAAAAAAGCAGCTGCATGCTTCTCCCTCTCTTTCACCCTGCTTTCAGGAAAGACGGCAAATGTAATAGTGACCTGAGATCACACCAAAAGGGTAATACCCTAGTGAGTGGCCAAATCCCAAGACAGACGGTGCCTGGACACTTTAGAAACAGCCAAGGTACCCCTAGACCACCTACCAGCTTTGACTTTTATGTGAAAGAGAAATAAATGTCTACTTTATTTATGTTACCATTATTTATCTTTGTTAAAACAGCCAAATCAATATTTAACCTGATACAGTATTCTTCCAGTAATACCTTCCAGCAAGGTATGTAGAAGCCTCAGACTGGCATGACTACTTTCAATAGTGAAGGTGGGGAGAAGATGTTTTTTCTAACAAGTCACTAAAGGTAGACAATGTAAACTTTTAGCTGCCTAAGGTCACTGTTCCTTCCACATGGAAGAAGCCTATCTTCAAAAAGAAAGCACAATGGCAAGGGAGAGCATGTCCTGAAAACACCTGAGCCTCTGGATCCAGCCAACCCTGAGGCCAGTTCCATGCCTACTTTTTCCTTTTTGTAAAATCTAGTTTGATGTAGGTACCAATTCATTGCAACAGAAACAGTCCTAACTCTTTCAAGGTGTCCATGAGATACCTAAGATGTCTACTCATAAGGAAATAAGCAGACTTTTATTAGAGGCTGACCGTAAATGTTTATTCAGAAATGAAAAAGTTCATTTTTCATAACTAATAAAACTAAAATTGGCTTATTTCATCTTTACCAATGTATTTTTTAAAGTAAAAATTTATTTCCTTTAATCCTAATTCTACTTATCTAATAATAAATCTGAAGTTGAAAAGCTCATCTACCATCCACTCATTCAACAAATGGTCATTAAGGTTCTATGCATGTAGGCCACTTCTCTAAGCTCTCAGGATACAGCAGTGAACAAAACCAAGTTCCTGACCTCATGAAGTCTCTGGCACTTGACAGACTATACCAAATGAAGCAATAAAGTAATTCCATTGTTACAAGTGCTGTAAGGAAATCAACTGGGGTGGGAAGGTACTACTTTAGAAAAGATGGCTATGGAAAACCTCTCCAAGGAGGTTGAGAACCAAATGACCTATCTGGCTGCACCATTAACCGATAATGGTATCTCTTCTCCCCATTTCTTTCTTTTTGTACTTAAGAATTATCTGATTTACTCTTCAGTTTTCTGATCTCTCTATTCAAGGATATTGCTTTCTCATATATTCTTCACTTAATTTAAATAAAATGCAAAAAATCAAACAAAAACGAGCAATAAAGCTGCATGCCCCACAGGAATGCATATCTAACTCCTCTGTCATCAGGGATCCACCCTGAAGTTCTCTTATTTCCCTTTGCAAATTAAAAAAATATAAGGATCTGACCTTGCAAAACTGCAGCTGAAAGCCATAATCTCTATTAAATTTGCTGTGTGGTCACATATCTGCCAAATTCTTAAGCCAGCTAAAGTCCTTTTGGAAGGTATATTTTGTCAATACACATCTGGGAGAAGTTCTTAGCACCAGTCTATAAGTGTGAAAAACTCTTATTGTGATTCTCATTCTCTGTTGAGAGACATCTGTCTCATTCTTAAAGTGAAAGTAAACT